CTGTGCGCGCTGCGCGCGTTTTTACAAGTAATTTTTAATAATTAATCAAACACTGAGAGAATTTTCTTTAGAATTTACTTTAAAAGTTATGGTAATCGTGAGAGAAAAAGTATGGAAAGAATTTTATTAGAATTTCTTTGATTAATATTTATCACATTAAAAATAATAATATCTATCACAATTATATTGTCACAATAAAATTGTGATAGATATTATTATTTTTAATGTGATAAATATTAATTAGAGGAATTCTAATAAAATTTTTTCCATACAATATTGTCCTACGATTACCACAATTTTCAGGGCAAATTCTAAGAGAAAATTCTCTCAGATTGTGATTATGTGTTGTAATTTGTAATCAGTTATTTATTACAATAATTTTTAATCAAGTGCGTGAGTCAAAGTGTCAATACAATTTATTACAAAAAAAATTATTTCATTATGCAGTGTGTCACAGTGTGTCAATATCGGATTGTATCCAGTCAGGCAACAATTATTATTCGTCAAAGGACATCAAACATCTCTACAAAATAAGAATCAGTGAGAGAGAGAGAGAGAGAGAGAGAGTGTGTATGCGCGTACACACACACACACACACATACACACACACACACACACACGCCGCGTGTAACAAACAGCTGATCGTTTCGAGCGCCCACGTAATCGCCCGCGTCGGATAATGTGTTGCGCCGCTCCTGATTACCGCCCGTACTCGTGCTGTAATTCGCTAACTATTTCTTTTTATATTTCGAAAACTAAGCTTCGGATAAAATTTTGGCAAAGAAAAAATCGTCTTAGAATCGAGTCAGGAATACGACATTTTAAGGACAAACGGTTGTTATGAATTACCCTGTATATGTATATATGTATATATGTATGTGTGTCTGTGTATGTATTTATATATTTTGTAATATTGTCATGAAAAAAGAATAATGTGTGTGAGAGAAAAAGAGAAAGAAAAAAATAGAGAGAAAGAGAGAGAAAAAGAAAGGAATAGAGAGAAAGAGGGAGAGAGAGAGAAAGAGAAAAAGAGAGTATACCATATGTGTTAGAAAACATGGACACATTCTTTACCCGCGCAAAAAGAAGTCCTTATTTTTCTCTCTTTGTCCTTTTATGCTGTTTGAGACATGTATGCTAATTTAAACTATATAGTTCCATGAGTTCAGTTATGTATATGGTATATATCTATGATAATACACTTATACATGTCTATATATCGCATACACATTAAAATATAAAATATTGCCGTACACACACGCACTCTCTCTCTCTCTCTCTTTCCTTTTTCCTTTTTTTTTCTCACTCACACACATTGCTATTTTGTGACAATATTACAAAATACATAAATATATACAGACACACATACAGGCATACATATATACATATACATATATTAGGCTATGGTCGGACAAGACGCAATGAATGCTTCGAAATATTATGTTTATTCTTGTGAAATAAAGGACAAAGATAAAATAATATTCCGATCGTTCGGAAATTCGAAACATTATTCTATATGCCTGATACGCAATAAAAAAATATATTTCTACTTACTACTTCTTCTTGTAGCGTGCGATGATCTCTGCATCTTTGCTGCACACGATCCGACTGACCGACACGAGACACGAGCACGACTCAGCACGATTCGCACAAGACAACGACGCGACGCAACTGGACGACTGTTACGAAAACGAAACTGGACGAAACGACGAAACAAATGAGCGGCACACAAGTGCGACTATGTATGTGTACATACGTATATATGTGTGTAGGTTTGCAAGCAGCGACACGAAATCAACAGCGTGCGCGCACGTGCTTCTGGCGTTCGATTTCGAGTAGTAGAAGAGGACAGATATATCATCTGCTGTCTCTTTGTTTCTCGAGACGTATAGCTGTGGAATAAATAACGTTGAATATAATGATACAAATATAAGACACAGCTCGACAGTTCCGAATGTTTAGAGGTAGCGTCACAAGCGATAATATTTATGTTCACGCGTAGTCGTGTTTGCTTTTGTGTGATTCGGCTCCGAATTCCAACGGTTTTGTCAGGACGGAGAGTCGTCCTCGAGCGATGAAACGATACAGTTCGACGCGTACTTTTGCGAGGGAACGAGCGGAGACTTCGTAATTCCGATCCTGTATTCTTTATAATTGAAATACATTACATTACACTACATCTTTTGGGGGCTCGTCCATTTTGAATCGGATAAAACGGATTCGGAAGACGTGTGTCGTGTGAACGAATATTTGAGTGACATTGCGAGTTTTGAGACGGTTGTGTGGCGAACGACGGTTGCGACGACGACGACGGCGATAATGAGGACGACGATAAGTGACGGCATACGTTTCGCGAGATCATGTTTGACCCTAACGCGCTTACAGTAGTGGAATTAAGAGAAAAGTTAAGAACGCGCGGATTGCCGATGGCAGGGTCAAAGGCGGAACTCATCACGCGTCTTATGGATGCTGATCCGGCTGGCTCGTGGATGGCGGAGGACGTGGAGCGGGAGCGTGACGGAGACGACGAGGATACTCGTATTGAGCGAATTGAGGTGAGAGACGATGCATGGCGACGGCAAGAGATCGAGTTCTATAGGCGCGAAAAAGAACTCGCGGAGCGCGAGCTTGAGCTAGACCGGCGCGAGATCGTGATGCTTTGCGACCAAAGACGAGACCCAGGGGCAGCGATTGTCTCGGACGCGGGAAGAGCGGCGGTTTCTCAGGAGCAGCCACGGGTGAGTCTCACGATGATGGGGGACTTGCTGAGCGATTTTGATGGTGTTTCGAGTGACTTTGGCACGTGGGAGAGACAATTGAGATTCGTGAAGATGACCTATCGATTAGAGGACGATGGCACCAAAATCCTCATGGGCATGAAGTTAAAGAAAAAAACGTTCGAATGGTTCCACTCGAAGCCGGAACACATAAGCATGTCATTCGAGACAATTTTAGAGAAGTTAAGAGCAATGTTCGACCGTTATGAAAGTAAACTAACGATACGGAAAAAATTCGAAGACCGCGTTTGAAAAAAAGAAGAGTCGTTTCATGAATACCTTCACGATAAGACAATCATGGGCAATCGCGTACCAGTCGACGAAGACGAATTGCTCGAACATATCATAGACGGCATTCCGGATGATACGTTACGCGACCAAGCACGCATACAAGGATTTTCATCAACTGATTTACTTTTGAGAGCGTTCAGCAAAATAATACTGCGGAATCGCAATGTGACTGGCGCGGATCGACAGGACAGGCGAGATGCCGGACCGGCGAGAGGTGAGCGGCGCGAACGGATCGTCGAGTCTGGAGACTGGAGCGGCAGGGGAGGTGGCGACGGCAGGAGAGGGACGCCAGGTGCCGAGCGCTGTTTCAACTGTGGTGCCCGAGAGCATATCAGCGCAAATTGTCCGACGAAGAATTTCGGTTCTAAATGTTTTGAGTGCGGTAAACATGGACACATCGCATTAAAATGCCCTAAAAAAATGGTGAACTGAAGAAAACTGTTATCGTAGCAGTTTCACAAATAGAGCGTAAGAAATATACAAAGGACGTGCTAATAAGCGATCGAATTGTCACCGCGTTAATAAATACGGGAAGCGACATATCAATAATGCGAGCCAGCGAACACGCTAGGGTGGGGTCACCGAAACTGCGCGCATCGGAGATGGAATTTTGCGGAGTAGGCGGCTATCGCGCGTCGGCTTTTGGCGAATTCCAAACAGAAATTATGATCGACAATTTTTCCTATTCGATGCTTGTTCGGGTCGTCCCGGATACCGTTTTACAGTACGGACTACTTATCGGCGCGGATTTTTTGGATACAGTAAAAATTAATTTAAGACAAGGCCTAATTTCCATTACTTCGATTTGCGATCAAGCTGTCGACGACAAGGTGCAGCCGGAGATATTCGCGATTGATGTACAGGACGCGAGCGAGGTAGACGTATCAAACGTACAAAGCGTTAAACATAGACACATTATAGCAAATCTGGTTGAAAATTACCGACTAAACAAAATACAAGAAGTTGACGTAAAAATGACGATTATTTTAAAGAACGACGAACCAATATATCAAAAAGCGAGACGGTTATCGCAGTTCAAAAGAGATATAGTTAACGCTCAAATTGATGAGTGGGAAAAGCAGGGTACAGTCCGACCTTCCACTTCCGATTTTGCAAGCCCCATTGTTTTAGTAAAAAAGAAAGATGGTTCGCATAGGCTTTGTGTAGATTACCGAATGCTCAATACAAAGATAATCAAAGATCGATACCCACTTCCTCTGATCGAAGATCAGTTCGACAGACTTCAGGACGCGAAAGTTTTTAGTACCCTCGATTTAAAGAACGGGTTTTTTCATGTACGTATGGAACAAGCGAGCATAAAATACACGTCTTTTATTGTTCCGCATGGTCAGTACGAGTTCCTCCGGGTTCCTTTTGGTCTGTGTAATTCCCCGTCAGTTTTTCAGAGATTTGTTAACACGATTTTTAGAGATTTAGTTAAACAAAGAATTTTATTGATTTATATGGACAACTTAATTGTACTTTCTAAGGACGAGGATGACGGATTGAAAAATCTTGAAACGGTTTTGGAAACAGCCGGTCAAGCCGGATTAACGATAAGTTGGAAGAAGTGTCAGTTTCTGCAACGAAAAGTAGAGTTTCTCGGATACGTGATTAAGCATGGAACAATACGACCATCCGAACGAAAGACCGGCGCAGTAGCGCACTTTCCTGAGCCTAAAAACGCGCGACAGATACAGGAATTTTTAGATCTAAGCGGTTATTTCCGCAAGTTTATTAAGGGATATAGTATAATTGCACGACCGCTATCGAACTTATTGAAGGCTAATGTAAAATTCCAATTTAGCGTAGTTGAAAGAAGCGCGTTTGAGCGATTGAAAAGTATATTGTGCGAGCGGCCAGTATTAAGCCTGTATCGAGTGGGTGCAGAGACCGAGTTGCACACGGACGTGTCTATGCACGGATTCGGAGCGATTCTTTTACAGAGAAATAGCGAGGACCGTTTGTTACATCCTGTGTATTACGCAAGCGGAAAAACGACGTCAGCCAAAGAAAAATACACAAGCTACGAGCTGGAAGTTCTCGCAATAATCAAAGCGCTCAAGAGATTTCGCGTGTATTTATTAGGCATAGAATTTAAAATTGTAACGGACTGTCGAGCGTTTGCGTTGACAATGTCGAAGAGGGATCTTTGCGTGCGAGTAGCTAGGTGGGCACTGTTGTTGGAGGAATTCCGGTACATCATTGAACATAGACCGGGCAAAAGCATGACTCATGTCGACGCTTTAAGTAGAAGCCCATTGCCAAACTGTCTGGTGGTGAGCAAATGCGACGAGGGATTATTGGCACGACTAAGGAAGGCACAAGGAGAAGACAGCAATCTCAAAGAAATTTTCAATACGATTGAGCGGGGAGAGTCGAGCAGTTACGTAACCTGAGGTGAAATCCTATACCGGGACACTGATGGCGATGTTCGCGTGGTGGTTACAAAGGTCATGCGGCAACAAATAATTAGACGAGCTCATGAACAAGGCCATTTCGGGGTGATCAAGACGGAAGCTTTGCTAAAAAGAGATTACTGGATTCCAAGCCTACGCACTGAGGTCGAGAGAGTTGTGCGGAACTGCGTTGCCTGCATCCTGGCGGAGAGAAAGCATGGAAAATCTGAGGGTTTCCTAAACCCAATTGAGAAGGGCAGTGTGCCGCTGGACACATTCCACGTCGATTATCAGGGTCCACTACCGTCAACTAAGAAAAGTTATGTACATATCTTTGTTGTGGTGAATGGATTCTCGAAATTCGTTTGGCTGTATGCGACTAGGTCAGCGGGCGCGACGAATGCGATTGAACGTCTGAGAAGGCAGTCGTTTATATTTGGCAATCCGAGAAGAATCGTGTCGGACAGAGGCTCTGCATTCACGTCGGGAGAATTCGAGGAATATTGCCGGTCGGAGAGCATCGAGCATCGGTTGATCACCACGGGAGTACCGAGAGCCAACGGCCAGGTCGAGCGAGTGAATCGCACTCTCATACCATTGCTAACAAAATTATCGGCTCCTAAATCACACGAGTGGTATAAATATTTAGGTGTCGCACAACTGTGCTTAATGCGACATTACACAGGAGCATTGGAATGGAGCCTTTCCGCGTGTTGCTGGGCGTGCATCCACGCATTCGTGACAATCCCGATATCAAGCAGCTCCTTGAGAACGAATTTATCGATTCATTTAATGATGACCGAGAAGAGCTACGAGAACTGGCCAAAAGGAATATTGAGAAAGTACAGAGAGAAAACAAATCAAACTATGACAAGAAGAGAAAGGAGGCATCTCTATATCGCGAGGAGGATTTTGTGGCAATCAGACGCACGCAGCAAGGCCCTGGATTGAAATTTGCGCACAAATATCTCGGACCATACGAGATCATTAAGGCTCTGCGCAACCATCGTTACGTCGTACGCAAAATTGGAGAGCACGAGGGACTCCTCCAAACGTCATCAGCCGCAGATTATATGAAACCATGAATTGACAACGACGATCTCTCTAATACGTCAGAGAGTGAAGACGAGGAGGAGGAGAGTGAGCGGTCGGGACGACCACTCAGTCAGGAATGGCCGAGTGTGGAATAAATAACGTTGAATATAATGATACAAATATAAGACACAGCTCGACAGTTCCGAATATTTAGAGGTAGCGTCACAAGCGATAATATTTATGTTCACGCGTAGTCGTGTTTGCTTTTGTATGATTCGGCTCCGAATTCCAACGGTTTTGTCAGGACGGAGAGTCGTCTTCGAGCGATGAAACGATACAGTTCGACGCGTACTTTTGCGAGGGAACGAGCGGAGACTTCGTAATTCCGATCCTGTATTTTTTATAATTGAAATACATTACATTACACTACATAGCTAACGTCTCAAGAGTCATGTTAGCGCTGGCGCCTGTTTGATCTCTCACGTAAAAATAAAATTATGAATAGAGTACATCTTGTTATTATATATATGTATAATGTTACAACAATTTATCCATTTATTTATCCTATATATACGTACATTGCACCAAACATTTTTATGAATATATATATATATTTTTACGAATGATTTTCAAGAATATTTTGTTTTGGGATATATATTGTAAGTTAACTAGTTTAAATATTTGCACGCTTCCTAGTTTAATCAAAAGATATATTTAGGAGACGAGGAAAGGTGGCAAGCGAGCGCGCAGATTGAACAAAGCGGATTAATTATAGGAAATATTAGATTGGAGCAGAATATCTAACACCAGTAATAATTAAAGTAAAGAACTGATATATTTAAAATATCTTCAAATATAATTAAACAAAAGACTTTCCGAATGACTCCCGTATACCGAACGCGTCTGATCCGTGATACTTTCCGAAGGAGAGTGTCGGCTCTCCCGCCGGTCTCGAGGTGGTTTGCTCTCGTGGAGCCGCGCATGCTCCTTGGACACCCGGTATTGGTGGCAGCAGCTGACGGGCTGACAAAGAACGGTAACAGACATGCGCGCGCGTAGCTTACAGTTCGGCCATCCTGTACATCTAACTTTGTCTCAAAGTTATTTCTCTTTTTAACAATCAAAATTTTATAATTAAGTGAGTGCGCGCTACATTTACACCGCAGTTACTTAACTATGGTTAGTTCAACTCAGGTACGTACACTTTTATCGCAATTATTCTAATAAATACATAGTAATATATGTGATTACGCATGTATGCGTTTGCCTCGGTATTTTAACGCAGAACATTTTGCAAAATTAGTATGTAACAATATTTACATTTCTTATTCTACTATATTATTATCTAAATATTGCAAACAATCATAAAACTAATTAATTATTTACAGGTGGTGGAATCCTTATCCCAGGTTTTATGCGGCCAGATGACATGATGGTGTTCATGGTTTTTTGTTTTAAATTGAAACCTGGTACGTCCTTAATTACATACCGATTAGATTCTAAACTTTTTGCCTCCAAGTACCCAGATAGCAATGGATGTATTATGGACGTACATTTTAAATCCAATTTATGTCCATATGTCCATGGACATAAATAGGGCATAAATTGGATGTCCTTTTTTTGGATATGAATCAAATGTCCTAAACAGTACATCCTATGGACATTTAATATATGTTCAAATTTAAATACTGATTTTTTTTTATATTAACGTTTAAAAAATATTTGCCTTTCGTTCCTATAAAATGTTTTAAAATATTTTTCAAAAATTCCTTTAATTTTTATTGAATATATGTCATTATATATTAAAAATATGTTATTAATAAATATATCACAACAAATATTTTTTAACATTTACTTATATATAAAAAAATGTTTGAAAATGTTTTTATAGTATCATTTAATGTTATAACTAAACTTATATATTTGAGAAATAATTTTTAATATTACAAAATCTGTTCTTTTAATGCCACGATCAAAATATATGTATATTATTATTAT